ACTGGTGTTGGTATCTTCGTATGCCTATGAATTTCTATCTTCGCTGCGTAATCCACTCCATCTATCATTTCCAGACATGAATTTCCTTGGATCAAGGCACTGACAGTACCGTAACCACGGCCGTCAATCCGGACACGATTGAGGAGCGTGACGCCATGTTTGTTTATACTGTGAAAGTAGTCCCTAAAATTTGCATATAACCTCTCTAATTTGCATCGATATCCGTATATAATCCCAACGAAAATATCCGTTGGCTTTATCCTGCCGAGAACGCTAACCATTGTATGGTAAATGTCCTTCCCTGTCCCGTTGATAGGCTGTTGATGGAGAAGGGTTGGCACTGAGGTGTTTTATCTGCGTCCGTGCATGCGTGCGTGAAACTTCAGTTCTTGTTACCATTTACGCACTACTTCTATTTATTCAATTTAGAACTATGTTTGACCATGCAATGTCCATCAAGACATTCAAGGCGTCTACGAAGCCATTGTAGGTTGTCTTGCCTTCCTTCAGTCCAGTGCCATAACTGAAGTATGTCCCGCTCGTGCCTCATCCCCAGCCCCTAGATTGTGTGCTTCCCTACGCTCTAAGGCCAGCTGCTAACATAACCAATACGACCGCCATTCGTACGTGATATGAAACAGCTCAGTATACAGAATTTACCGTTCCATGGTTTAATGATTCGTCACTGATAATAGAATTCAGTTTTTTTCAACAGAATAATCAGCGGAAAACCCCATGAATTCGCATCGTCCAGAATGTATGTAATAATAAATAATAGTTTACTCATTAATTTTGTTATAAGTGTATACAGTATATATATTCTCAGTATTTCGGTCGATAAATTGAGAAAACGACCTTCCCTTCACCAGTTGTTTTCAAACAATCCCCTCTTTAAGATTCTGAGCTACTTGTAGCATTTGCCGTGAGCCAGGGCATATCATTTGAGTGTACAAAACACGCTCTTAAAAACAGTCCTTCTTGCCGAAATGCTTTTGTTGGTAGGAAGTCACGGCCTTGTGGTTCAGCTAATTAGGAGACTATGCAGATCAGTTGTGATGTTTGTTTGTGGAGACAGCAGATAAAAGTGATTCCGTTTGCTATTTAAAGATTATGTTTTTCTCGGTTTCCATGAAACAATTTGGACTTAATCTCAAAAGGGAAGGGGATGGATTTCGTTTAAATCGCACAACTCAAAAACCAAGAGACCCTTTTCATGCAAACCGCGAACATGTATAAACAAAGGACTGAAGTGGTTTCCATGGCAACAAGTTTGTCTTTGACACTGTCCATAGTCGTGTGTGTCCAAAACCAATAGGTATTATTTCCTGAAACTGTGCGCACCCAAAGACCAGGTTGTCAAATGCTGCCTTGTGGTGTAACTTGAGTTGTTTGGAATGTATGTTTTGTCCGTTTCCATGGCAGCAAGTTTGATGTTGACTCTGTTCATAGTGTTGTGTTTGTCAGGACTATATCTCGATATTGTACTAGGTATTCTTTCATAAAACCTTGCTCAAACAAACAACAGGTTATCAACTGCTGCCTTTGCTGTTAGGGATTTTTTCAAATTTGTATTTTGTTCTTTGACTTTGATATTGGTGTGTACCTGACACAGAAGCACAAGAAACGAATCCCAATTCCATGTTATTTTGTTGACAGTTCAATAACTGCTCTTGTATACGGACAGACCGAAATTCTCTCATCAAGTTGTACTTCTAGACCTGTCAGATGATTTCTTCTTTCAAATTTGTGGGGGCCGGGAGGGATTTGTCATCTGATGACACTTTTCTTAGTAAAGATTCCTATTCCTATTATCAAGACTAAGCACTGAAATTACTAAAGCCGTAAAAAAGAAACTTATGTCTCATATTCATGTCTTCTTTCTGTGCTGTGCCCTGAGAATAACATTCAATATATTTTGGACAATGCCATTACTGACTGAAGTGCACCTTGTATTCTTTGTCCAAGCCTGGTGGTAGTTACAAAATATCTGTAATGACGTGAAACTGGTGACTGCCGTTGCCAAGTCGTGTACCGAATGCCAAGAACTGATGACAGCATCTGCAGAATTTGTCAACTTAATTACGTGAGTAAGTTTGATCTATTGAATGGCGAAATGAATTACAGAATCTTGTAATGGCGGGAAATTGATGAATGCCGTTGCCATGCCTGATACGAAATACCAAGAACTGATGGCTGTATCAAGAAGTCAATTACGTGTGCACATTTGACCTATTGATTGGGATATTGACAGATTCCATTGACTGAATATGGCAAGGTGGTCTCGGTTTGTGTAACCCAAATGGACTTTACCTGTACAAAGTTGTGTCGGGGTCTAATCGATGACAGTACAGACAATCTTGAGAGTTTTACAAATTATATCTTGTCATCAATCATTCCATGGACTGATCTCCAATGTCTGACTCTGGCAGTCAAGTTGACTGTATATGTAATCAAATTGCAATTTTAGATCATGTCATAGACCAAATTCAGTCCCGTTGACGCACACGTGAAGAATATTTCAATATTCCAAGTAAGAAAAAGGAATGTATGTCATTTCTGGGATGTTACTGCTGTACATCTGGTCAAACTAATAAAATGTGTAAGTTGCAATTATCAAACAAACTCTCGCTCTGTTGTTAGCTTTGCATCAATTCGTAGTGTATATGAATACAACTTTGTGCCCAACACAAGTGTAGACAGATCACAATCCATTGTTTTCTCTTCTTGTCGTAATTAAAGAGACCGAACGGCTAGTGGCCTGGGGGTAGTTTTTTTTTCAGGAAATTCTATTTACACATCAGACATATTAACGACAAAGTCAACATTATTCCTGACGCATGGTGACGAGTTGGCTGAAAGTGTTCGGTTTTGACTGCAAACTTGATTTGCAGTTCTGTAAAAATTGTAAATAAAGTTATTCTCAAAATGTGGAGAATATGGTATAGCAGAGTAATATATCGTTAAACAGTGGTGTAATTGCATTACATTGTTTCAGTTAAGATTGAGCAGGAATGCAGTACTATCTCATGGTGTGGTGTGAAAGGTACAGCTGCAAACAAGCTGTTGGTTTCACACTTTGAATTCGTCTGTATGTAGATTTCTGGCTGCAGTTATTGTGTTAATGTGGCGGTCGACACGTAACACGCTACGGAATACATATGAGATACAGGCCTTCGTCCTAATGTCAACATGTACTGAATGTTACCAGTTGGTATTTGGCGGACAAAATATACCTGGAATATTTCTGAATATAAGAGGATAGTCACTGAGTGGTTGGGTGAGACTTTAATTCACATCGGCAATATTTCAGCCATGTCGTGACTAGGACAGCTTATAAATTCATGGTAAAATCGGTTAAATTATAAAAACCTGTCGACAAGGGACAGTAAAACAACTCGAATATCACAGAAAAGAAATTTGAACCTAGTATATTATATATATACTAGCCACAGAAAGAAACTGTGCATTGACACAATATTATCCCAGTTGATAAGTACGATAACAATGTCAAAGGTACATATAAACTTTAATGGAGGGATCATGAGACAAGTTGGGAGAATTTCAATTGAAAAGTCAATCACAATGACGTCACGAGTCCACAAGCGGGACAGGGGTCAAACGACCATGTCACAAGCTCAATAACGGGTATGTCCACCATCGGCATTGAGAACAGCAGTGCATCGACGACGCATAGAGCCTATCAAACGTGCAAGGAAGGCTTGTGGGATGTCACGCTAGATTCTCTTAAGTTCTGTTGCAAGGTCAAGGACGTTATCTGGCGGATTAGGAAGACGGCGTAGACGTCGATCCATCTCGTCCCAAACATGCTCTATCGGGGAGAGATCCGGTGAATTTGCAGGCCAAGGCAGCAAGTTAACGTTGCGGTGTTGCAAGAAATCCATAGCAACCATTGTCGTATGAGGGCGAGCATTATCCTGTTGGAATGTTAACCAAAGGCCATGACGTTGCAGAAAAGGAATTGCCACAGGTCGAAGAATCTGATCCCTGTAGCCCACACCAGTTAAGTTGCCCTGGACAATCACCAAAGGAGTTCTTTGGCATGCTGTTATTCCACCCCAAATCATAACGGAACCACCACCAAAGCGATTCCTCTCCAAGACACAGTCCTGTGCATAACGTTCTCCCACGCGTCTAGAGGCACGTTGACATCCATCACTATGGAAAATGTTAAACCTGGACTCATATGTAAAAACAACATTTCTCCACCAAAACAAGGGTCTGCGGACATGATTTCGGCACCACATTCGGCGAGCTTGTAGATGACGTTGTGTCAGGATAGGCCGTATGGCGGGACGTCGTGGTCTGATCCCGTGATGACGTAAACGTTGTCGAACTGTGTTGGGGTGGATACGGCGAAGTCCTGGGATGGTTCGGGCAGTCATCACTGCAGTCTGAAACCTGTGGCGAAGATGGGTCACCCTTATCCATCTCTCCTGTCTTGGCGTTGTTACACGTGGACGTCCAGAACGTGGCCGATCGATGACGTCATTTGTGTTCTGGTAGCGTCTCACCAGTGCAGAAATGGTGTTCCGGTGGCAGTTGAAATGTGCAGCCACTTGTCGTTAAGACATTCCCCCACCGACCATCCCAATGGCCTAATGACGCTGTGCAGACGTGAGCCTTGGCATGCTATGCGTTTCAATAGCCGTTTATTTTTTTGAACGATCGCAAGGGCAGGGGTTGAGCTTTCCAAAGTGACAGTATTGTGTGGCATTCATTTGCTCTGTTTCTCTTTCCCGGAATGCACGTGCAACAACGTATTGCACGTCTCAAGGACGAACCCACTGACGTCACGGAACGTGGCACGTGCATGCATGTTGGATACATGTCACTAATCTCTGAGTTTAAATCCTTATGTGTCCACACAGGTTTGATAAATTTAGATTTTAAATCTTTGTATGCACAGTTTCTTTATGTGCCTAGTATATATATATATATCAAGTGTGCAATATAAAAAACGGGCTATAGATCACCAGCACTAAGCATCATTGTTTAATCATACATTTACCGTAATTGTTTTTTCATGGAGTAACAATATAACAGTTTATCATGTACATACGACAAAAACAGTTTACACCGTTTTAGGATGATCCATAACATCACTTGAGTGCATCTGATTAGCACCACCCTGGGGTCCAAACGTTCCCGTATTTTCTGGGGTCCGCTGCATGATCCTGTTTAGGGTAATTGGCTGGCACCATCGTCTTCTTGTACTCTTCAAACCGGGCACGCAGCTTCGCCACCATGTCCGGCATCTGCTGTGCGAGGTCGTTGTGCTCAGTTGGATCCTCTGGATACGAATCAGAATATTGGTTAAAAGTATGGAAGAGAGCTTTATGAACAATAAGCAGTCATCGTGTTTTTTGTATGTATATAATCGTGTTGTAGTATGTATATATTTTGTCAGCTTGAATCCAGCGTTACAGCATGCGTTATGGGGGATGGCACCTATAGTCAGGATATTGAATGATGACAACCAAAGCATGCCAGGTCTTGAAACCCCCACAGTATGAATAGATCCTTTGCTTACCACTATGGATCATCCATAACCATAGTTATAGACACCGACTGCTCAAAACGATGGACACTTAGGAAATATATTACCACTCCTATGCTCTTAATTACTGCTTACCTCTAATGTTGAAGAGATGGACCGGCGCATCTCCTTTGATATAAATTGTCTTTTCAGTTGCGTCAGCTTTTGTTGTGTTTTTTGGTTTGGCCCAACCGTCAGAACGTCCTGGATAGCCGAGGATCAGCTTGTAGTCCCCTACTCTGATACACAAGGAAGTAGACACATTAAACGGGTACTTCTTTTCTTTCACGACAAATGACTATATTAATGATATAGCTTTCGAAATACTTCCTTAATTAGGTCTGCACATCGCCGTAAGACATCATGCAAGTAATTTAAACATGAGTTAAACATGACATACTACCTTATGCCAGCATGTCCTTCAATAGGAACTTCAAAGTCGTCAATGTTGTAGATGAACTCTGTCCTTGATGAAGGGAGGCCGTATCGAACAGAATCCCAGTGACTCATTCCATCAATGGTTGTCTCTGTACCACGGACAGAAATGAAGGTTTATAGCAGCCAGGTTGATTATTTGCAACATCGTTTCATAAAACAAGGGAACATCAAATCTCATCTCAACGATTCTTTGAGCTATAAAATATGCTTTCATGGCATAAATCCCGGAAATATGAAGGCGCATCTCTCTACCTGGAGTTCCCCCCAGCAGCAGACACTAAGGTGGGTTTCCAGTCAACGGCGTGGATCATTCTGTGAAGAGGTAGAAGCGATTCCTATTTACAAACACCTACATTCTTGAAGTTATTGAATGATTAACCCACAGAACTTGAACCAGATATCGTTTGTGTACAAAGGAATCGATTAGGGGTGTTTCTAATGTAAAGGGTGCAATAAGAAATGACATCGACGTTGAATTGAATATAATAGCATGTAAATAAAAGATACTGGTGAAGTAACAAGTGTGACGCAATATTGACATGCTATGGAAACATGGCATTTATTTCGAAATGCTATCTTTTACCAAATTGCAGTTCTGATCAACAGTTCCGATATGTATACTGACTTACCTAATGTATGTCAAACTTCCATTTAGGCCCAATCAGGGTCATATAATATAATTTGGATCATCATCAATTATACACGTATCTAAAATAGGATTATTAAGTCATGTGTAATGGTCTTTCTTTGGTGTTACCCATCATAGGTAGTCTTTATCTTCTGAAGCCCCGCACCGTACATGAAGGATGTCCCCCCTCGTGCCCCCCTCCCAGATGGTGCGCTTCCCTCCTCTCAGAGGCCAGTTGTTGCCATACAGGTCGATAAGGCCCCCATTCTGCATGTTTAGTAAAATTGTATTTCTTGGTAGAATGACTTAATACTCAGTTTCATGAAACAAACAGCAACCTAAAGAGACTGCATTTAAACCTTCCTTTACTTCATTAACGACACACAGAGCGATTCAATGAATACTTCATGCCATTCTATTTTTAATGTTTTTATGTTCTTTTTGTGTAGCAAGTACATGCTTGATAACAATGAATAGATAATAAGAGATAAATTTTCGCTTCTCACTACAATGACGTTAAGTCACATTGTTATAATCTGAACCTAATCTCATTAGTAAAAACAGCTTTGTGCCATAAATGAAGGCAAAAAACGAGATGGCGGCGTGCTTGTCGCAATTTGACAACTCAATTTTAATTGCACTATTTCAAAGAAACTTGAATGTACCTACCTAATATTTTGTGATATACCCCTTAGACACAAGAACTTGACGTATCCTCTTTGGAATGCTTAAATACAAGTTTCTTATGTATGCAAGCGGCAAAGACGTCCACACCTCATGAATTGCTGCTGCAAGGTCCTCTTTTGAATGTATGCGATAGGTGCGACACTGCAATTCTCTCTTAAGCCTATGCCACACATTTTCAATTATGTTCAAGTCCGGACTCTGGGCTGGCCATGACATGCCTTTTAAATTATTTTCTGTCTTGTAAACTTGAACAGTTCTAGCCCGATGGACTGGGGCATTATCATCTTGAAATATGTATTGGTCATCAGGAAAATGACGAGCAATAACTGGCCAAATATTGTTATCTATAATTTCAACATATTTCTCAGCAGTTTGTTACCTTCTACAACGACTACAGTTCCCACACCATGGTATGTAATGCAACCCCAAATCATCAAAGATAGGGTAGGGGTTTGGGGAACACCCAAACACTGGGGGGCCCACTGTTCACCAACTTTTCTCCAAATGAATACTTTTTCCTTTCCATCAATAATCACTTTACACTCATCACTAAATATGACTGTGTTCCAATATGTGTCCACAGATCGATGTAATTTTCCCCTGCACCATGCTAATCTATTTTTAATGTTCACTTTCCTGATTCTGATTTTCTTTCGAATTACACGTCTATGAAATCCTTCAGAATACAATTTTCTTTGAAGAGTTCTGTATGACACATGCTTGTTGTTGTCCTCATTAAATATGTTGGTAATATCCTTCAAAGATCGCCGACGAGAATTTTTTAAAATCTGAAAATTTTAGCGCGAGTCCCTCTGAGTCAAATTTTCTTCCTTCCCGTTCTTGTCTTGTTTTCCACAGAACCACGCGATTTATACCGATGAATCACATGATAGACAGTTGATGACGATAAATCTAGTAATTCTGCAATATTTGCAGGTTTCTTCCCGTGCTCGTACAATTTTACTATTGATTCTTTTACGCCAATGTCCAATTCTTTTCGTTTTGGAGGCATCTTGTTTACCGCCGTGAATGTAAACAAGCAGACGACATTCTAACCGGAAGATACGGTCACGTGATCCACTATCTAAAAATATACATCAATATCGGTAAAGGTAACACAGCGCGGTACAACAATGCGCCGAAATAACGAATCGTTTTCTTTAAACTGTCCGCAGTCATTTCTGCCTTCATTATTGGCACAAAGCTGTATCTTGTATTTTTGTCAAAAAGAATGTGTTTCTCCCTGTTAATCCTGGAGCTGAAATTTACTTACGTCAGTTGTAAACAGAATTAGGGTATTTTCAAACAAACCCCGATCTTTCAGGGCTTTGGTAACATTTCCAACCGCTTCATCCAGGGCAGACACCATTCCTGTAGGCATAGAAAGAAACTGACAAGTCATTTGAACAGTATCTCAGATACAGTATGAGTCGTTATTGTTCGCCACGCAGATACATTGATACATAGGGCAGATTTCATACTCTGGTGAAACCCACAGGATGACCTGGACACAACTCTCTAATGTGAGAAACTCACAAAAACAATAATTTAGTATTAATATACTCAAGAGATCTGTGCTCACTTGCTGTGTCAGAGACAAAATAAGGAATGGGCATTGAGACTGAGAATGGGCCAATTGTTTATTGGTAAAAGTGACGTGACGATACATACCATTGTACCTTCTTCTTCCGTCGTTATAGACGTTTGGATACATATCCTCGTACTTCTTAGGCACCTGTAATGTCACAAAGTTGAGGTGTATTTATTGAGAAACGAAATATATTCATTACATTGTGAACAAATAACGAAGTATTTAAGTGGGTTGATTCAAACGCCCCTGTGAACAGTGTTCCAGTTTATCGCTTTTATGAAACTAGCAAGCACGGTTTAGGAGATAAGAATCCTGTTAATATAGTCGGGGCGATCTACCAATTGAACCCACGACCATACACGCCAAGAGACGACAGGGTCATCCGTGCCCCTGAAATGATTTATGCCTTTGCGACTATAGATATGACTATCTTAACGACAACGTCTTTCGACGGTAATCACACTGACACGCTGCTCATTTAACCAAGAAGAAAGGAATCGAACCTGTATCTGTGATCATTTCTCTGATTTTCCTTACCTCAATAGGACCATGTACATTCTGATAAGGGAGGTACATAAACAGAGGTTGTGATACATTATGTCGATGGATGATGTCAACGGCTCTTTGGGCGAACGTGAACTGCAAATTTAATGATAATACGAATGTATGCAAAAGCCAAACTAGTAAACGACTGAGGATTTAAATCTGTTACAAAAAAGTGTATATTTTAAGAAAGATGTTCGTAATTGGTTTGAATACAGTCAACAGTTGACCGACAAATTGTCTTTGCATACGTACAGCAGAATATTCCCCAGAATAGTTTCGTGCGGGAAGCTCATTGTCCCTGTAGTCAAGATACCCGCCTAATAAAAAATGAAAATAGCTTTCATCAAAATGCATCTGTCAACAAAGAATAAAATCAGCGTAAATTCACAAAACAACATCATGAAACCCCAAGTAGAATAATACGTACCGACAGAGTGATTGAAATAGTCTTCAGCCCCATTATAATACCCAAAGAAAGTATCGAAGCCTCGGTACGTTGGGGTGCACTCCCACTTGCAGAAACCCAGGTGCCATCTGGAATGACAGTAAAGATGGCGATGCTTCACAATGCCATAAAGTAACTGTATCACAAATTCAAGCATGTTGTCATGACTAGCTATGATGACCCTTAACTTGCGTGTGCATCCTTGGGTATAATTTCACACATTGAAAGTGCACGATGAGCCGTAAATCGATGAAGACGTTTTATATATTAAAGCATATTCGTTTCCGGCCAAACCTTGTTTATGTTATGTCACACCAATGTGACAAAGAGGGGAACCGTGGACTGCTTGAGTGAGTGATCTAATACTTACAGTCACTAATTCATCAATATCGAAATTGATTTACAAAGATGACAAAGTTTCTGTATATGTGTACAGTATGTAAAATACTTCACGATTCATTCAATACATATACTTCATTAAATGTGACAATAATTATGAGCTATGTCAGTTCGGTATAATTCGTTGCAAAAGCGTGTTGTTGTTTTTTCTTCACTTTCATATTATTTGAGATACTGGTCAGTGATACATGAGATACGGATCAGTGATACACAGGAGCGATATTCCCACCAATATGTAATCATACATACATGACTCTTTCCATGAGAATAGAACTCTGGCTATCATCTAATGATTTCCTTATTTAACTGTGTCATAAGATATGTCTTCATTTGATCCAGTGAGTGTCAATGGTTGTTTCTACCTTCTGTGCAACGCAGTACCTACTTTCCGATCATGTGTGTAGCATAACCGAGTCTCTTTAGTTCCTGGGGCAGGAATGTATAGTTGAGGGGCACACACACTGGTTGAGCATGGAGAATTGTCGCATGCTGAATAAAAAAAATTATATATCTTTTTACGAAATGTTCACAGGTGACAACATGAAAATTAGTTTAATTCTCCACGTGAATTATTAACGAAAACAAGAAGGAGCTGCACAACTATAGAGTCTTTAACAAACTGTTTAAACAAACATTATGGTGAAAATCAGGACAATGCATCTGAATTGAAAGTGCGTAAACGTTGTGAGTGACGAGGTTAGCATTCACGGAGCAGAATATTTCTCAAGACTTTCGACTTGTATCATGTTAAATTAAAAGACATAATTACCTGCGTGCCTGCATGGAAAGGATACATTCCACTCATGAAGGCGGTGCGGGATCTGAAACAATGAGTGTGTAGGTACGTGTGTTATGCTGTCATATAATCACTTGGGCAGGTTCATTTGTCAACTAGAGCTGTTTTTTTTGTGTGTGTTTTGGTTCTACAACATTTTATCTCCTCTAAACTCATCACTTAAGTTGGACATTGTTTAATTGCAACATACAAATAACATGAATGTGTGTGCGTTTGATCCGCGTGATGTATGCGAGTTAACAATATCACAGTGATTTACGGGGTACACAGAGGCTGAACATATGCATTCTCGAAGATGATTCCTTCTGTGGCCAGTTTGTCGATGTTTGGCGTCTTCATGTCAGGATTGCGGAAACCAACGTCATTCCAACCTGTATAAACACAAAGATTTCCCTTACTGGTCGGATTTGTAGACTATACACCGCTAGCTTAAGACGTTTAATTTGACATTTGACATTTTGTGTTTCAGTAGGTATTTACCTGAATTGTTTTCTAGAGGCCTTCCCTATGTCCACTCACCTAAGTCATCTGCCACAATAAACACAATGTTAGGACGCTGCGATGCTGACAAGGGTAGGACACACAGGAACAGAGCAAGGAGCTGTCGAACCTCCATCGCGTTTGCTTGTAATTCAAATATAAGACAGTTGCCTTCATTCTCCCTGCCTATATGAACCTTTCAATGTCGTGACTGACAAAACTTATCTCAACCTTCACATACCTCCTCTGGTATGTGACGTTATCAAGCTTGAGTTTGAGCATATTTATTGAAATTTCAGCAAAAGTGCGTTCGAGTGTTTTTCACAGTTTAAAAAACATGTTTTATTAACCATGAGCCATGGCATGTTATCAACGGCTCGTCTATACATTCCTGTCAGATAACGAAAGTATGCTGAGTATTTTATTGCAGACATGTGCAGCGTTTCGCAAGGGTGGGTCATAACGACCTACTTTAGGGTCACAACATACAGTCCATAGTTCAGAATGTCATGTTGGCCACGTTACCCTCCGAATCCTTAAACTATATCGACGTGTGTCTTGTTTACCGACACACTTGCTAACCGGCTTGAGTTCATCTTACTATAGTGCTTTATGGATGAGTTTATAGGGTATGTGACGTTAATAGTGCTACCTCAATTACCAATACAAAGAAAACACATTCCGTATGGTGGCCACATTCATCTGGAAATTATTAAATAGAAACATTGCTAGCTTGTTTTGTTAATAACACAAGGAACAATTAAAACAGCTTTCCACACGTATCACGTAGTTGATTTCAGAATGATAATCGCATTTGGATGAATTCCAGATAGAATTATACGGTTTTGAATTAAAAGTACGTAAAATCTCCTTACTATGTAAGTGTAGATTTAATGAGTGTCTTCAAACAGACATAGCAAATACCGTAATCAGTGTATATGTAGTATTCAAAAAGGAAACGCATAACTCAGAAATCTGTTTCGAGAATGTTGTATTTTGTATACCTCCTCCACAATTAGACTTTCGTACATGAATTTTTGCATCAGTTTAGAAGACGGAAATGTCTACACAACCAAGTTTGGCTTTCAATCCAATCTCTCTTAATGTGTTCTGTAGAGTTTTACGGCATATCCTCAGAAGTCCAGGCACCCTGGCTGCTGCGCTCTCACCCGAGGCAGTACAATCACACAAATGCAGTACCCGGATGTACCGATCATGGACTGCTGTGGTGACTCAAGCTCAGCCCGTACGAGGACGATCATTTGTTATACCTGTTCGGTTGTAACGAACTGCAAGCCGTGATATCGTGCTAAGACTAACATTCAGACGCCTGGCAACAGAAGATTGGTAATCTCCAGCGTGCATTCTTTCAATGACGATGTTCAAAATCGTAGTTCAAAACGAATGCCGATTTCAGCAAGTAATCTGGATTTTTATAACCCGACGGTACATGCTCTTTGCTGCAAAATTTCATCTTGAAGGTGATTTCTGTTGCGTTGTGGCGATGCCTTTTTAATCCTTGTCAGAAATCTCATTAAAATCAACATTTTCAGGTAAAGTCGACTTTTTACTTGTGCAATTGTGTAAAATCATATATCAAAACTTTTGTTAGATATTTTGACGATTGTTTTAACACAGCACATGCGTTTCTTTTTTTGGACAACATATATAAAGTATATCACCCGAGCAAGTCTTAAGCCGTAATATATTAGCCAAGCCTGTACCAATTCTTAACAGACTTGAATGTGTACTGAAACTGCAAGGTGAACTAGATCAATTTACAGATTCTGGTGTCCATACGCTCAGTGTTTTCAGTACCTACACTTTCACTTATACATTGTTGGTGTTATGAACCATCATGCATACAATTAGACTTTCGCACATGAATTTTTGCATCAGTTTGGAAGACGGAAATGTCTACACAACCAAGTTTGGCTTTCAATCCAATCTCTCTTAATGTGTTCTGTAGAGTTTTACGGCATATCCTCCGAGGTCCAGGCACCCTGGCTGCTGCGCTCTCACCCGAGGCAGTACAATCACACAAATGCAGTACCCGGATGTACCGATCATGGACTGCTGTGGTGACTCAAGCTCAGCCCGTACGAGGACGATCATTTTTTATACCTGTTCGGTTGTAACGAACTGCAAGCCGTGATATCGTGCTAAGACTAACATTCAGACGTCTGGCAACAGAAGATTGGTAATCTCCAGCGTTCATTCTTTCAATGTTCAAAACGAATGCCGATTTCCGAAAGTAATCTGGATTTTTATAACCCGACGGTACATGCTCTTTGCTGCACAATTTCATCTGGAAGGTGATTCCTGTTGCGTTGTGGCGATGCCTTTTTAATCCTTGTCAGAAATCCCATTAAAATCAACATTTTCAGGTAAAGTCGACTTTTTACTTGTGCAATTGTGTAAAATCATGTATCAACACTTTTGTTAGATATTTTGACGATTGTTTTAACACAGCATATGCGTTTCTTTTTTTGGACAACATATATAAAGTATACTGAGTCAAAAAAGAAACTTCACATTCTTTCTTCTGGGCACTATAAAAGAACATGAGATTGTAAGATGGTTAAATTGTTATTATTTCTTTGATGAGATCTGTGTGATGTACTCGATACACTGACAGTTCCATAATCAGTTCCATTAGGCTACACCGCCGTTCCAAAACATGGGTATACAGAATGTCAAGTCACAATATGGACGTCGAGGATAGAGATTGGCGGCCCGCAACCGATTTCGAATGGTCTGTGAGGACATTCGACCTCTAAACATCTCAGCCCTGGTTCGTGTAGCCGGCAGAAATCTGTCACGTAGGTGACGTAGGACGATTTGACGGTTTTCTGCTCGTAACGTCACATGTGGACGACCCGACCTTGGGCGATCAGAAGTGGTGCCAGTTTGTTGTAGACGACCTCGCAAGTCATACACAGTACGACGGCTGCATCCCATTGCTCTTGCGACGTGTTTAACTGATCTTCCATCTTGGAACATGCCAACGGCACGTTCACATTAAACATTTGATAATCGTGGCATTTCAAGTACCGTTGGAACTGTGGTTAATAGTGTTTTTTTTCAATTCTTGAGGCCATTGCAGACACGTGCATATGAAGAAAACTTCAATGCGAAGATCACGTGATCGACTGCACGTGCAAAACGTGATTTGGTTTTGCTAACGTTTTTCTAGAGTCGAAAGATAGGGATCCCATTTCGGATACATAGATGTTTCATTAGGGAAAAATTATTCATTATTTTTCAAATTAAATTTTGTGAAGTATCTTTTTTGACTCAGTATATATTACCCGTAGTACCTTAGCCAAGTCTGTACCAATTCTAACAGACTTTAATGTGTACTGAAACTACAAGGTGAACTAGATCAATTTTCAGAATCTGGTGTCCATACGCTCAGTGTTTTCAGTACCTACACTTCACTTATACATTGTTGGTGTTATGGACCATTATGCATACTTCACACTTACCACTGGGACACCTACACGCATCAGTAAAAAGACAATCTGTCAGAGAGGGGCAATTGTCAGCTTAATAAAGATGTGCAATGTCGTCGATATCAATTGTTTTCAGATCGCAAAAAAATGATTCTTTCCAATTTGAAGAAACATAGAGCACATCCTGTCAAATTAGCTTTGCCGTCCGTGCAATCGCTTGCATCCTTCAAGATCGTCAGTATTTGATCGGTTCCGTCAGTGTTTGCTCAGAACTTACGCTAAAGCATGTTTTCAAATAGAGTTTTAGTTTCACGGGAAACTGGTTACAAAATGTAAAAAGGAGCATGGCACGTAAATAATTCACATCACATAGTAAACCTTTGTTCGTATCATACGACATTTGCACTGGATTTCAATCCAACAGATAATTGTGTACAAACGTCTGATATTTTCGTATTTGTTGCCTTCAAACATCAAGCCCCATGCTGTCCCCAAGAACCTATCACAAAGAATCGGCTGGGGAAAATGCTAATCCGCTTTCTCTCAGCAAGTAACTGTGCTGCAAAACTGTAATTTAAATTACCAATAATAAAATATTTATCTATTTACAAATCAGTTAACAAATCTAATTCATTTAAAAATGCAATAATTAAATGATAACTAACATTATTAAAAAGATCCTTCATAGTGTTTACTTTGAAATAGTTATCCCTTGTGATGGAATATGCAATGCAGTCAAGCAAGACATGCTTGACTGTGAATCTTTCATCACAAGGGATGCAAAACGGAGGATCTTCGCCTTTAAGCAAATATTCATGGGTATATCTAGTATGGCCAATGCGACATCACTGCATAATGACCTCTTCAAATCTGGACTGACAACCCAAGTAGGTGTAACCAATGTAGGGTTTTATTGCATGTAATTTATTAATACCTACTTAGGTGTCCCACTTCTTCTGCATTAGATCGCGGATGTATGTTCTAATGCTGGCTTCATAATCAGAGTACGGGATCAGAAGTGGTGTCACAGATTTGTTGAGTGCTGCCTTAGCAGCAAGATCAGCCATTGTGTTCCCAGAAATGCCAACGTGGCTGGGTAACCAACAAAAGACGATGTCGCATTGGCCAGTAGCAAGCTCATTATACAATACAGAAAAGATGACATATTGTTGATATTTAGGGTGTCTTTTAATATATTTTAAGGCTGTTAATATGGCGTTTGCTTCTGCTGTAAAAATAGAACTGTCATCTGGTAAACGAGAAGATATTGTACTGGATCCAATGACAGTGGCACAGGCCACCGTTTCACCATCCTTGGATCAATCTGTAAAAAAGGATTTATATGTATTATATTTACTTTTTAATAATTGATTATACTCTTGTTTATATTGTAATGCATTAGTTTCTGCTTTTTTAAATGCTGTTAATGCTAGGTCAACGTGTGGCCTAACCAATTGCCAAGGAGGAGAAGTAAGAAGACGGGAAGGAGCTATATTTTCCAGCTCAATGCCGGCAGCAGCAATAAATGGCTTAATTCTGTGCCCAAGAGGCGGAACAAGAGAAGGTTTTTTGTTATACAAATCATCATAAAGTGGATTAAAGACACAGTGAAATGCAGGATTAGACTCGTTAGAATATAATTTTGTAATATATTGTAAAGATAATTTTATACGTCGTTGGTTAAGAGAAGGTTCATCTGCCTCGACGTAGTGACTGTGAACAGGAGAGGTTCTAAAAGACCCAAGACAAAGTCGTAGGCCTTGGTGATGGACAGAATCCAGTAGTTGTAGGTTGCTTTTGCAGGCTCCACCATATACGATGGAGCCATAATCAAGCTTCGAGCGGACAAGTGATCGGTAAAGGTGTAGGATCGTAGCTTGATCCCTTCCCCACCTTGAATTAGACACGACTTTCAATAAATCGAGTGCCTTCAGGCATTTAGTTTTTAGAGATTTGATATGCGGAAGAATAGTTAAATGGGAGTCGAAAATGAGACCTAAGAACTTGGCCTCTTTTACAACCTTGATGGGAGTATCATTTATAAACAGTTCTGGGTCTTTATGTGGTTTCTATATACGGCAGAAATGTATGCAATTAGTTTTTGATTTAGCCGTTTTCAAGACACCATTTATTTATTTTGTTTAAACACAACTGTCGTTGTCGTTCAATGGTATGCATATTCTTACCGCGACAAGAAATATTAAAATCATCCACAAAAAGTGATCCATCTATAGAATCATTTAAAACCTTGGAGAAACTGTTGATCTTAATGCTAAACAATGTTACAGACAAAATACTGCCTTGTGGTACACCCTGATCCTGATTATAATGGTCAGACAGGGTTGAACCCACTCGGACTTGAAATTGCCTGTCTTTTAAAAACTGTGATATAAAAAGAGGTAAACGACCCCTTAAACCAAAATCATGTAAATCCTGTAAAATGCCATGCTTCCAGGTGGTATCGTACGCTTTCTCGAGATCAAAGAATATCGATACAGCATGTTGTTTATTGACTATAGCATTTTTGACAAAGGATTCTAATCGTACCAAATGATCAATGGTACTACGATTTTTCCTGAAACCACATTGAATATTTGTTATTAGGTTGTTGGTTTCAAGATACCATGTTAATCGATTATTTACTATTCGTGCCATGGTTTTACAGACACAACTCGTTAAAGAGATTGGTCTGTAATTTGACGGATCAGTATGATCCCGGCCAGGCTTTGGTATAGGGACTACTATGGCTTTACGCCACGAAGTTGGGAAATTCCCTGAAGTCCATATTGTATCAACAATATTTAGAAGTGTTTCCAAACATGAATCAGGTAAATGTTTCAAGAGCTGATAGTGTATATTATCAGCCCCTGTTGCTGTATCATGAGCTTGCTCAAGGGCAGTACGTAACTCATGCATTGAAAATAATTCATTATAGTCTTCTCCATTGTCTGATGTAAAATTAATTCTTTTCTTCTCCTGTTGTTTCTGATGTTTCTGAAACTCAGGGACATGATTGGATGAAGACGAATGTTTGGCGAGAGTTTCACCAAGCTTATTGGCGATGTCAGCCTTATCAGTTAACAAATTAACACCGTCCTTTAAATGATGAACGGTAGATTTGGAACCTTTGCCCCTATTCTTTGTATCATGTTCCACACCTTTGACATCGGTGTTCGAGAATTTATTTTGGAAACATAGTTTCGCCAAGACTGACGCTTATTCTGTTTAAAACTGCGTCGCGCCTTGGTATTTAACATTTTAAATTTATCTAAATTATGGACAGTAGGATGTCGGCGAAAATATTTTTCTGCTTTCTTCCTACACTTTCTAGCCTGTTTACATTCGTTATTGAACCATGGTTTACGAATATGTGGAACCGCAGAGGACTGAGGAATTGTTCTGTCAGCAATGCCATTACGGATATCAGAAAACGACTGAATAGGATCTTCACTGTTCCTAAAACGATTATGAGCTAATTGTTCAGCACACAGAGTCTTATATAATGACCAGTCAGCCCTGGCAAAGTTCCTTCTCGATAAAGGTGGATCATCCCCAGGGTTGACTGTTTTGAGAATGGTGGGGAAGTGATCACTCCAACATAGGTCATCATGGACCACCCATTCAAATTCATTATACAGGCTGGAGGCGGCAATTGACAGATCCAGGGAAGAATATGTTCCCGTAGCTGGATGTAGATAAGTGGGAGAATCATCGTTATATATACACAGGTGATTATCGGAAATAAATTCCTCAAGGATTTTACCTTTAGTATTAATATGGTCACTTCCCCAAAGCGGGTTGTGACCGTTCAGATCGCCCATGGTGAGACATGGCTTCGGAAGTTGATCAAACAGATTTTGAAGATCTGATTGTTGAATATTTGAAGAAGGGGGTATATACAAGCTGCACAGTGTCAGAGCAATGTGCAGAGTGAGATGCACAACAACAGTTTGAAGATCCGTATTTAAAGTCACAGGGCTGTGAATGACACTATGGTGCACCAAAATAGAGGCGCCTCCAGTAGCTTTATCGCCTGGAGGGGAGAAGGAATGATAATCACTAAACCGTCTTAAGTTAAAGGTATCAGTATTTTTAAGGTATGTCTCTTGAAGACATAATGCTGACGGTTGAAGATCTTGAATGAGTAATTGTATTTCATTGACGTTATTCTTCAGTCCTCTGCAATTCCACTGAATTATATTAGACAATTGAGTCATGATGGTGGCTCAATCGGAGATCTCTCTCGTGAATGGGAAGAAGAGCTATTCCTCCGCTTGTCCTGTGAGGACATTGTGACCTCCATGTCGAGAGGTCCAAAGGGGTTCTCCAGAGGGAGCTCTGAAGGTAAAGGGACAGAAGGTGTCTCTTTTCTGTTTAATTTTTTTCCATTTCCTTTTGCTGAACTGGCTGAGTGGGGCAGTTTGTTTACTGATTTTGACTGTAGCTCAGGTTGACTAACAGTCTGAGAAGAAGAAGTAGTCTGTGTAGCTGGTCACGTTGGTTCAGTAACTGGGGACTTGTGTGGACTGGCTGAAACAGGTCTTTCTGACTTGATCCATGTCAAGTCAGTCTGGCAAACTATAGATGATGTTGCTACAACACGAGTGACTGCAGCGGAATAAGTTATACTCAAAGGAGTTGAGTTCTGAGTTGCGTACAGTTTTTTTGCATCTAAGTATGAAATACGTTTTTCACACTTTAGTTTCATAATTGTCACTTCCCTTTGCCACACAGGGCAGGATCTGGATGATGGAGGATGAGGACCTTCACTATTTGCGCATTTATACTCTTTTTGACAGTCTGTATCAGCATGATGGTCTCTACAGCGGTGACACACCACAGAGTTGCGACATGATTTCGACCCATGGCCAAAACGTTGACATGTATAACACCGGAGTGGATTGGGGACATACACCTCCACTCCGATGTTTAAGTATCCAGCTTTAATTGATTCGGGAATGGTTGCAAGAGCAAATGTCAGAAGATAGGTGTTGGTGTTAATGACGACACCCTCTCTCTTCATGGTGAAACGTTTCACCGCTGTCACAGCCTGCTCCTTAAGCTCTGTTGCAATGTCCTCCTCGGACATATCCGAAGGACAACGAGCCCTGTCCCGAACGATGCCGCGACAAGAATTTAAAGTTCTGTGCACAGACACAGCAACCTCAATATTTGCAAACATTTTGATTGACAAAAGATTTAGAGATCGCTGTTTCCGTGCACACTCGACGAGAAGCGAGCCGCTACGAAAACGGGTGACGTTGGCCACTTCCCCACAAATTCCAGATATTGCTGTGGAGATCGCAAAAGGATTAAGTTGGATAGGTAGATTATCTTTGCCCTCTATAACCAGACATCTAGCCCATGACTCAGCACTTGAAGAGGTATTTCTTGTAGTTTGGTCAAGTTAATCCAAACGCCTTTTCTTTTCTTTTCTCAGTGAACCAGATTGTTGTGACGCCATAGTGAAAGGAAAAAGATTCAGCACCCCTACTCCCCATCCACCACGGAATGTCAACAAGGACAGTGTCATATAGCACCGGATCTCCAAATGCTGACACCAAGGATACAAGGGTGTTATACTCAAGTGAATACGACATGAATAGCTGCATTTATCTACCAATTTAATGCCAGACTGGTTCGGCCCTTGACAAGAAATTCGAGACATGCTTTATTCAGTGGTCAACATCACCAGATTGGCCCATGAACCACCGCCTTCTGGCATAGGACTCTAGGCAATTTCGTATATAAATAATTTGTACATTGAAAATCAAAATGTCCAAGGCCCAATAATAAAAATGTGCAAATAAAATAACTATGCACAGGGCTTGGCGTGACCAACCGATTGATAGAACCGGGCCAGTTCTACCACCCGTCTAGGTGAAGTAAGGGTCAAAGTGGTGTGATGGGCAACAGGAACACGGTTCCAGGCCCCTGCTGCCCTCAACCACCAGACTCCCGTCCTCCACCGACACAGGGGCGCAACCCACGGCAAACGGGTTGGTGGACCAAATATCCCCCCGGGTCCACAACGGGGGGTTGAAGGGCGCTTAGCGTTACCCAGCACCCACCACGAGGAGGTGGCCCTTCATGGGTGCCCAAAATGTAAGTAGGAGCATGGCACGTAAATAGTTCACACCACGCAGTAAACCTGTGTTTATATCGTACGACCATTGCACCTGATTTCAATCCAACAGAGAATTGTTTTCAAACGTATGATGTTCGTATTTGTTGCCCTCAAACATCAAGTTCCATGTTATCCCCCAAAACCCATTACAAGGAATCGGCTATGGAGAATGCTTGTCCGCTTTCTCTCAGCAAGTAACTGTGCTGCAAAACTCGAACGTCATCTTTTGGTGAGGGAGGTCCAGTCCGCTGGAATAAACTTTCAGATTACATACAGCAAATCACTGACTTTCTGATATTCCAGCATAAAGTGAAGCGTTTGCTGTTTCAAACAGCCAAAGACCTGCGCATTTCAGCAACTTTATTGTTATCATTATGTTAATGTGAGGCAAATTGTCCTTTACCATGAACATACAAATTATGATCTAAGTGATACGTCTATTGACAAATGTGCAACTGATTAGCACCACCCTGGGGTCCAAGCGTCTCCAAAGTTTTTGGGGTCATATGAATGATCTGGATCGGGGAAATTGGCTGGCACCATCGTCTTTCTGTATTCCTCAAGCCGGGCACGCAACTTCGCCACCATGTCCGGCATCTTCTCTGTAAGGTCGTTGTGCTCAGTTGGATCCTCTAAGTGTGAAATCAGATTATTAGTTAAGAGTTTGGGGAAGAATGGGGATTTTATTAACAACCTGCGTTTGCATAACGTTTTAAAACACTTGAAAACACTAAAACTCTGGGATCTGAATCAGGTACAATTATAATGGGATGCTACAAAAATTTAACAAAGAATCTCTTGGACTCCACCGGTATGAGTGGGTCCATTTGAATACAATCGTTGGTCGATCATTATATCACCAGTCAAATCCAAACGCACACTAAATTGTTGTGTAGTATTACAAACATTACAGGAACACTCAGGGAAATACATGGTATCAATCAGACGTGTATGTTAATTGCGCACCTCGAATGTTGAATAGATGGACTGGTTTATCGCCTTTGAGGTAAACTATCTGTTCATATGTTTCATACTGGGTTGTGTTCATTGGTCTGTGCCAGCCATCGGCAGCTCCTGGGTATCCAAGCAACAGCTTATAGTCGCCTACTCTGAAACACAGGAGACACACTTCAAATGCATATTTCACTACATTAAAGACCAGGAATCAGTAGAGGGAAGTGACATGTTATATTGCCTCTGGAATAGGTCATTTATCAGGCAGGTAACGCATTATTAGAGACAATTGTAGCAGTTGATTGCAAGTTATCTTAAAAATCATTTGTCAAATACCTTATTCCAGCATGCCCTTGGACTGGAACTTCCATGTCGTCTATGTTATAGATGAACTCAGTCCTTGATGAGGGAAGGCCATTTCGAATAGAATCCCAGTGACTCATTCCATCAATCGAAGTTTCTATGCCACAAATAGAAAGAATTGTTTTAACAACACTTTGTTGTGCTTACCATCGTGTTACTTATCAGAAACTGTTCTAAATTCAACATAATTATATTCTTAGTGCTCCCAAAAATATCTTGGTAACTGTGACTAAATTCAAAGAAATGTAAATACGGTACGCCTTACCTGGTGTCCCCCCAGCAGCTGATACTAAAGTTGGCTTCCAGTCCACAGCGTGGATCATCCTGTATATTGATAGAAGCTGTGTTTGCATATCCATAAATAGAATCCACGTGTACAAATCTGTCTAACATTTACTTGTATTTGTTATGGCTAATTTGTTAAATGAGTATGGAGAGTTAAATTCATAATATATTAAAGGTATGATTTGCACAAACATAATCTATGCAATTAAACTATAACAACTGTGTAATGATATAGCAAGTTTATGTTGACAGGAACATGATTTGTTTCATATGGTATGCGCTGTGCTTGATAGAAACATTTTTGACGGACTTTTCATCTAAAAAAACCCCTGTGATCATGAACTGTACGCTTACAAAATAAGGATGTTTGAAATTGGTCTGACTGTATTCTAAGCTGTTACCCATCGTATGACGTCCTCGTCTTCCGGAGCCCAGCACCGTACATGAAGGATACCCCATGTTCCAAGTGTATAGCAAAGAACTGCGTGTCCGTGCGTGTGTGTGTATGTGTGCATGCATGCATGCGTGAATGTGTGTGATTCAATAGTAAAGAAAATATATTGATCTTATGATTCGATAACTGTTAGCTTACAACCCATATTTCTGCTTTCAACGACAGATTGAAATGAAGTTTTTACTTTGGTTTGGTTTAGTCAAACAATTATATTTAATGGGACAATGGGAATGAGTCATTTTTAACAAGACTGTTCATCGTGTTCAAGATATCAGTGACATATTTTACAAAATTGTTGATAAAGTTTGAATGATATACTGCAACTACTTACATCTGTGGTGAATAGTATCAAAGTATTTTCAAACAACCCCCGATCGTTCAGGGCTTTGGTGACATTTCCCACTGCCTCATCCAGGGCAGACACCATTCCTACAAGAAATGATAGTCGCGTGTCAATGGTCTTGGCAGTTTAGTGTGGTGTTCAATTATATGGAATCTGGGAAGCAAAGTTCCTGTTGAAGAAACTAGTATAAACAAATCCAAAGTACAACTCAATAAAGGTTATACAAAGGTGTATAAAACTATAATTAAATGCTTCCTCAGTAACAGAGTATTGGCAGTTTAGATCAAATGCAGTCAAGAGAACAATTTGAGAAGCAGACAGAAAAATGACATACCACTATATATTCTTCGACATTCGCTTATCACGTTCGGATACATATCCTCATACTTCTTAGGCACCTGTGATGTAAAAACGGTTGAGGTATATAACTAATTTAGTGATTGGCAGCATAAACATCGATCTACGTATAATTTGTATATGACATGCATCAACCAGGTAGACAAACTTGACCATCCAATTCAGTTAGTCGCCTCTTCCGACAAGCATGGGTTGCTGAAGATTGAATTCTCGCCCGGATCTTCACTTATCATTGCCGCCCTACTAGTGTTGATCAATTTTCTTTATTGCAACTGGAACTGAATTCACCCAGTCGTAAAGATGAATGTGTGGCACCGACTGACATGCTGTGCACTCAACTTACAAGAAAGGTTGGTGGAATTGGACCTGTACACGTTATCCGTAATCTCATACCTGAAGGGGACCATGCACATTCTGATATGGAAGGTACATAAACAGAGGCTGTGATACGTTATGTCGATGGATGATGTCAACGGCTCTTTGGGCGAACGTGAACTGAAATGATAATACGAATGTATGAAAAAGCCAAATCAGTAAACGACTGAGTATTAACATAATTATTATGATGTAACAAGTAATACGAAAATATGCAGAAAAAATTGTCAACTGAAATTAATGGTAAATTGTCGTGCATACTTACAGCCGAATATTCCCCAGAATAATTTCTTGCCGGAAGCAGGTTGTCCGAGTAGTCTAAATACTTCCCTGGTGAAATGTGAAAAAGACCTCAGTTATAAAATATTCAAATATAACATCAGTCATAATCCGCTACAAATATATAAACTTTATAATGTACAAAAAATTCGGCGGATTATTTAAAAGTAGGTTTGATGAAACACCACAAGCTGAATAATACGTACCAACTAAGTGCGTGTAGTAATCTTCGCCCATGTTATAATAACCAAAGAAAGTGTCGAATCCACGGTACGTTGGAGTGCACTCTTTCTTGCAATAACCGAGATGCCATCTGGAGAGATAATGCACAGGATGGGTTGTACAGTTCAAAAAGGGGAAAGGAATATAATGATATTGCATGTACTGTTTGTGTTTGTATTTGCTCAATGGCACTTTTTCCCTGAGGTTAGATTTCATGTCTCTCTTTGCACCTTTACGATTTCATTATGAACAGTCATGTTATACAGCTTGTTTTAATGTATTCCACCCTCCAAGTTGTTGATTCATTGTGACATTATACTTACTTTCCGATCATGTGGGTAGCGTAGCCGAGTTCCTTGAGTTCCCCGGGCAGGAAGGTATAGTTGAGGGGCACACATGCAGCTTGGCGAGGGCCCAGTACCCTATGCTGAATACAATGTTTTCTTTTTAGGAATGTTTTCAGAAAAGTAAAGTATGACAGAAGACCAGGATTGAAACGCACTACTGACATTCTTTAGAATAATAAAATGTTTTAACGGGATAAAGCTTCAGCACGATGGACAGCGTCCATCAATACAACTAGCGTGAATATGTATAAAGCTGAATATGAGATGAAACAAAACAATTCATTTATTGTCCGCTTTGCTTCAACGATATATGTTACCTGCATTCCAACGTGGAACGGAAACATCCCACTCATAAAGGCTGTTCTGGATCTGTGACAATGGCATGATATGAGTTATGATTGTATATGGTATTTATGATTGATTTGTCACTTAGAATAAACATCATGTTAGAGGCATATATGAAAATATATAAACTGTAAATTAATAATATGTGTAACTATCCTTAAGAGTATGTGTGAGAAGTAACGGATGTATACGATCTTTAAGCGCGTGATATGTTATGTAATGCAAGTACTGATGTAATTGTTGTCGTCTCATATGGTTTCTTAAAATTTGGTTGAAATATCATATAAACAACTTACGGGGTGCACAGAGGCTGGACATATGCATTCTCGAAGATGATTCCTTCTGTGGCCAGTTTGTCGATGTTTGGGGTCTTCATGTCAGGATTCCGGAAACCAACATCATTCCAGCCTGTATAAACACAAACAGTTTCCTTAATGGTCGGATATGTAGACTATACACCACCATTATTATCATATATACATACGGATTAAATAATGGAAACATATAAACTGAACACTATTTAACTTCATATCGACTTTCTTACTGCCTGTCAAATCTACACTCACCCAGGTCATCTGCCACAATGAACACGATATTTGGACGTTGTGCTGATGTCAGGGATATTGAAACTAGGAACACAGCAAGGAACTGTTGAGCCTCCATCACGCTTGCTTGGTAATCACAAATGTGAACCTTTTAAGAAAACTTTTCAATGTCTAGACTAGAGTGTGAGTGATAAAGCGTTTCTATATCTGCTTGACCTTCATGTACTGGTATTCGTCAACACCACATTTTTAACAGCTTTATCAGTGAAAGTTTTAACACATGAAACAAATGTTAGTGAACTTACAGGATATTTTCAAACGTCATTTACTGGCAATGAGCCACGGAATGTACCTACAATGACGCACATTCCTGTCAGATAACGGAAATATGCAACAATTGTGACATAAAACCTCGTCACATACAAAATAACACGTGCAGACACGCTTTGCTGCAGACGTGAAGTATATAGCAGGCGTATAACATGAATACTTACAATAAGCTCAGGTTAGGCACTTTCTTCATCAGCTGACGAACATCAACAAAAAGAACTTCAATCCTTAAATAGTCATATTTAGCTGACGGATCACAAGAATGTACGTCTCCTCCATAGCTTTTGCACACTATAGTAAGCAAAAATATCTTCACATGTGTTAGTGTATGTCCCAAACATACCCATCTAGAACTATTTGTGTTGCTGGTGGATAAATCTGGCTTAACGCCGTAATGAACGTACACGAAAACAGGATTAGACATCAAGGTGTTCCTGGTGCACTCTCCACAGTCAACAGTAGCACGATGGCCTCATGCTCTGATTTCACTGGCACTAGCCATCTGTACTGGAGCTTGTTCACTACTGTATGTCTCCGTCTCCCATTTACAACTGGCGATGTGACGCTAAGTATTCACTCACTGACACTCATCAACAGAGTCTCTGAGCCAGCTATCTGATCCCGACAGTCGCCTCTTGCATGGGTTGTTTACGAACAGTTCAAACCGGTATCTTCATGAGATGTAAGTGACACATGTAGGTGATGTACAATATACATCTGAGTGAGTGAGTTTAGTTTTACGCCGCTTTTAGCAATATTCCAGCAATATTACGGCCGGGGACACCAGAAATGGACTTCACACATTGTACCTATGTGGAGAATCGAACCCGGAACTTCGGCGTGGCGAGTGAAAGCATTAACCACCAAGCTATCCCACCGCCCCTCAATATACATGTGCGCTTGTTGGTAAAAGTAGAATTTAATCTTGAATTTGAGACCCATTTTATCTTCAAACGTCTCAATCGCCCACATATGTCACAAATCACAGCCATTTTGCATGTTTAGAGCACTACATTATGCTCCCTGCTAATATATGTGGGTGCACTCCATTTTCATTCTCAGTCCCTTGGTCAGCATGCAACCCAATCTGCCTTTTAGGCGAAGAGACCAATTTCGAAAAGAAGGCATTTGCCTAGGGCTGGATACATCGTATATGCTACGTGTGCGTCAGTTTTTGGCGTGAGGTTATGTCAAACAAATTTCAAGAATTTCCAGAGCTGGATCATCCATCATCAGTAGTGCACACAAAAGAACGTGTCTATTCTATTTTTATGCTCTTCCCAAGTTTGATGTTATTTGTTAGTCGCTGCCCACAAGCGCTGATAACCCAGGATAACCCAAGCTGCCTGTGTGGCCCTAGAAGGTTAATAGTCGCATGACTCATCTCACCGGGTACACATTTACTGCTTGGTGAACAGAAGCAATTTTGAGACCACATCTACCACATGTGCTTTGTTGTGGGCAGGGCTGAAGTCCTAGAAACTTACAGGCGTCAAGTTGCCAAACACGGCCAACTAGGGTCCATGCAGGTAGCAAAAGTAATGTAAGTCCCCATGGTTCCCAGTTTGGTGATCTACCTTCAGTTGTTGGCGATCTATGGCCCGTATTTTATATTGTATTGTCTTCTTTAATTGGAATGTTTTAGCTTTGTTCGCTAGTTTATATTATATCTGTGATTATCTAGTATGTTTACTGTCCATCGTCGACAGGTTTAAATCTTCAAAATATTTTCATTTTTTATTGTTTTCGTCACGATATGGCTGAGATATTGCCGATGTGACGTTAAATATTAACTCACTCACTCACCCAAACACGGCCACACATATCCGCACTCAACGCTGCTTTCCTTCAACTGATTTGTGACCTGAGCTCTATGTACAGGACAACACACCACCACTCTTCCCAAGTTTGTTATAGACTCCGTGAAGTGCCAGGTGCTACTTGTGTGAAGAATAGTAACATATTATGTTGACTGGACCTTTCCTTATATGGAAGAGTGTGAGTAGATCTGTTCTCAGAGATTCCTAGCGATTTCAGTTATCTGTCTTCTTAATGGGCTGAAAATGACCATGAACTCCCAAATGACCGGTGAACATTTACTCTCATATTTAATGTTAATTTCCTGTGTGACGTTCTTCTTCACTGAGTGTTTCACACATAAAGTTTTATGTAGCAATCTCCCACACGTCAGGAAGTATAGATGTACTGATTGTACCAACATCCACCTCGCTCGTTTGGCTATGGCATACTTTAAAAGAATAGACGTTAACACGACAAATGCCACTGTACCTACGTGACGCATGCAATAACTCTAACTGAAATATTGTATCTTAAATACTGAGTCATAATTTTAGTGTTTGCGACACGCCTCCATATAACAGTATATTACACATTTACAAAGCTGTTTGAAAAGGTGATTTATTTGTCTTCAAGATGCAAGAGCTAATAATCTTAGTGAGTGAGTGAGTTTAGTTTTACGCCGCACTCAGCAATATTGCGGCTATATGGCAATAATAATTTTAATCACCAACGTTTCAGAATCGCTTCTGATAAATAAGGTGTGTCATTAATTGTGGGTTTTGAAATTTAACATCTGTTGTTTTTTTAAATATTTCTACAAGTTATAGGTCGATACATGTCACTTTAAATACGAAGGGAGATGAAATGCATATCCGATCTCAAAACAGCATGGAATATACTAAAATATCGACCCTACCTTTCTCTTATCATGGCTTTCTAGAGTGCCATGTGACTCTTGCTCAAAAATATTCAAGAGTCAAGGCCTCAGTGAAGTTTTCAACATGTCTTAAGGTAGACTTGTGAAATCACTTGCAAATTTAACCCATCAGTGACAAAGTGATGCCTTGTGTCGTACGTTCACGTGCAGGTCTTCGTGTGTAAATCTAGTGTCTTGTCGAAATCGAGTATAACCCTTATATCACAGAATATCTCTGGACAATAAAACAAAATTAGCTTCACAAATTGACGATACGTGGTAAACCCTGTCCGCGAAGAATAATATAATGACATCGTTTATCATACTCACGACCTGAATGGTGGTGTATGGAGAGATGGCCCGTAGTGGTCAGAGCGAAATGGCCCACGGTGCCACAGTTTATCACGTTAAGGCCAGAACCATAATCTTGATGGTTAGTTTCAACATAGTCAAAACTTCATGAATCGACTTTAAGCGTCATATTTTAATTTAGTGAATGGCGATCAGCCCAAGGATAGCATAATATAACATGGAGACTCAAAGCAAACTCTTATTTATTTCTCATATGAGACAAACACAAATAAATTCATAGCACTGTCACCTAGTATTTCAGCGATACTAACTTCATTCAGGCAGTATTTTACCAGGCCACTCTATTTCAGTGGAAATAAATATTATTTGACACAAGTTAATCTAAAGGTCAACACCATCCGGGGCTCCAGACGTTTCCGAAGTTTTTAGGGTTAGATGCAGGATCAGGAGGAGGGTAGAGGGCGGGTACCATCTGCTTCCGGTAGTCCTCTAGCCGGGCTCTTAGTTTGTCAACAATGTCCGGCATCTGTGCTGCCAGGTCGTTATGCTCAGTAGGATCCTCTGTTGATGGAGAAGGGTTGACACTGACGTGTTGTAAAATAGCAACATCTTCCTTATCAATGTCTAACAATATCGATCAAGGTGAATTCTGCTTGTAACGTAACAATTGTTTTAGCAAACTTATTTGCGTAAATAAATATTTTCGGCACCTACCAAGTATATTGTAGAGCTGCACTGGACTATCGCCTTTAAAATATACAATGGTCTCATAGAATTCCCTTTCTGTCCCGTTCATAGGCTTGTGCCAACCATCAGGTCCACCTGGGTAGCCCATTATTAGCTTGTAGTCTCCAACCCTGTGAACAACAAACTTCAGTTCTTTACACCTGCACTCTTCCTTGAGCATAATATATATTATTCATTTTAGAAATGTTATTACACATTATGTAAAGAATTCCCATAGGTAAAGTTCAGTTCTTAATTTAGATCTTAATTTATTGGCACAGAGGTAATGTCTAAGTGTTCGTGTCTTGTCTTGATGTTTACTCGGTTAAAGACGGATATTACAAAGTAGTCTTTGGAACCTGATACCGTATTCCAGCATGGCCCTCCACTGCAGGTTCGAAGTCGTCAAGGTTGTATATGAACTCGGTCCTTGACGACGGAAGGCCATTCCTGATGGATTCCCAGTGGCTTATACCATCGATTGATGTCTCTACAATGAAGTTGGTAATCGTGACATTAAAGTAATATCGTCTCAAAGAAAATAGAGTATAGTATGACAAACTCCACATTTCCTTGCCTATTCATTATGATTCGTTATTTCAGAAAATTGTCTCTTTGGTAAAGGGCAAATTTTAAGTGTGGACAGTCCACACGAATTTTTGTCTTTGCAACAACTTATCAACACTGCTATCGCAATTGTGTTGTTGCATATTCATGATAATATCTACTCTCTTGCCTGTTGTAGACTCGAATATTAATGGTTCGAATAGCGTTTAATTATTGTATAAAACAGCCAAAAACATAACAAAATAACCCAACGAAATCTATGCAGATTGTGCTTATTACCGGGTGTTCCACCTGCTGCTGTCACTAAGGTAGGCTTCCAGTCTACAGCATGCATCATTCTGTAATGACATGAGTCTGTGATTACCGGAGTGTTTCTATCTGTACTGACCAGTCTCGTTAACATGGTATCTCCAGCACAGAGGAAGATTAATCGCCCCGTGTGTCACTATTAAAGTATTGACATTCTACTTCTCTTTATTTGTCCAACAATATACTCATGACATCAACGAACCCATTGTAAGTTGTCTTTGTTTTCTTTAGTCCAGCACCGTACATGAAGGATGCCCCTCTGGTGCCCCCCTCCCAGATTGAGTGCTTCCCTCCTCTCAGAGGCCAGATGCAAGCATAACTAATGATAGGACCGCCATTCTGAAGTGAAATGAAACTCCTCACGGTGAATAATGCAGAATGCAGATGTTACTATTCCACATGTTAACAGTTTAACGAATTTTATTGATTCTTTGAATTTTCAATTTGCTGCACAATCAACAATCTTAACCAAGGCCGTTATGGAATATGTATGATTCAGGATATATGTACTCATAAACGAGATTGTCATGCATTCTTTGTTATTATGGTATACACTTCCCAGCATTTCGGTTGATAAATTATGAAAACGACTCTCCTTACATCAGCTGTAAACAGAATGAGTGTGTTTTCAAACAACCCCTTCTCTTTAAGTGCCTGTGTAACGTTTCCAACTGCTTCGTCGAGGGCAGAAACCATCCCTGAAAATATATCATATCAGCATACGATCTTGCAATCATGTAAGCATTGTGTCATGTTTGAATATATTCACTCTTTAACATGGATTCCCCATGTTGGCACATTAAGTTAACTCCGTGGTGGCAGGCCCTCAGCGATTTCAGACTAAAGGTATGATAACGCGGAACTAGTCTAACTGTTAACGTCATTTGGTGTGAGACGGTCTGGCGACGGTCAATCGACTGCAGCTCGATCCACAGCTCGAGTTGGAATGGTGAAGTTGTGGAGGAACGTGAGAAGTGAGAACAAACTTAATGTACCTGAATATGTCCTGCGGCCTTCGTTCATCACATTAGGATACATGTTGTAGTACTTCTCAGGAACCTGAATATAATACCATTGGCGAATTAAAAAGTGAATCTGCATGACATATGCTAATCGCAGCAACTGACATATCTGGTGATTTGTGCTGATATTTGCCCTGTGAGATAACATTTACAGTATATGAAAGTGTTAAGTAGAGACAAATCGTCATCAAGAACATTTTCACAATTGCTAAATACATTATGCAGTCCAAATGCATTTAGGCTAGTACGTCACATCATACAATCCTGAAAACAACTGCACTCTCTAGTCTGCTTGTCTAATCCCAGAACCTCCCTGATTCCATTCCTCTCAGAAGTGGCGTTGACCTTGTGAAATCTAGTACCAAACCCATTTCCATTAAAACATTAATCAATATAGAGAGAGCAGATACAAAGGTCTCCTAGAGAAACTAGTTAACAGAAGACTTCACCTCAATCGGAGCATGCACATTCTGATAGGGCAGGTACATAAACAGAGGCTGGGACACGTTGTGTTCGTTGATGATGTCAATAGCTTTCTTGGTGAATGTATACTGCAACAGAGACAGAAAGTTTGGAAATATTTAGCATTACCTTGCACATATATTTTGGTGTAGTAGCTTGGTGCATGTCACTACAAAGGTCGGGGTTTGATTCCTTGTTATGGGTGCAATGCGTGAAGCCGCACATGGGTTTCGTGGTTTTGCTGATATATTGCTGAAAGGGGCGAAAGTCCTTTCAACTTCACGCCTTAAACTCATTCAATCAGTCAATCATACATTGGTATGTCTGTTATCACCGTCTTCACTGAACGGTATAATTTACGTTTATGCATTAGTTCATATTCATGGTTTCAAATAAACAAAATTTAAGAAGAATTACTAGTTTTATTTCTTGGTGTTTTTTGCAATTGTAGATTTGTCACCATATATATTTCATTTGTAAATTGACAACCTTGGTCAACTGCTTGACTTATTCTTACAAAAAGCCCAGTGATTGCGGCTTGAATTTATACCAGGGTCATTCACGTGTAGGAACATTTTTGCTGTAGCTGTTGATCTTTCAGAAGACATGATGGCCTCTGAACGTAAGTCACGAGAACACTGGTTTTCAAAAAGCCATAAAGTTCGTCATCAATTCACGGGGTTGGTTTGTTGTTCACCGCCGCACGTAGCAAAATCCCAGCTATATGGCAGTGGTCTGTGAATAATCGAGTCTGGGCCAGACAATCCAGTGATCAACACCATGAGCGATGACTTGTGCCAATCAAGTCAGCGAGCCTGACTACCCGATCCCGGTAGTCGCCTCTTACGACAAGCATGGATTGCTGAAGAACAATTCTAACCCAGATCTTCACGGATTCAAAAAAGCCATAAAGAGAATAATGTCATGATTTTATGTGTACATATCATAACATCTTTTGGTTACTGCCTCACGCTACATTCGGTGGTACATTATAAATCTTACTGACATTGTTGTTATAAGAATACTTCTGACACTAATGCTGGCGGGCTCAATGCACATCACTCACAGCTGAATACTCTCCCTTGTAATGCCACGCAGGAAGTTTGTTATCTCGGAAGTCTAAATAGGCACCTGGAAAGAGACGAACGGGATATAATGTCCACAAAATATATCCTTTGTTCAGACTTGAGAATCAAGTATGGAAATAATGCATGGCATTAAAATTTTAAAATTTGTTTTATTAAGACTTTATGCTGCACTTGCGTATATGCAGCCACTTTGTCATTTTGTGGCAGAAGTGGCTGCGACGTTAATCATTAACTCTCTATATATTGTTTACTGTTTTCTTTATGTATAGGTAAAACCATTTTCATTTGACCCCGTTACGGACACTTCTCTGACTTCATCAAGTGCTGCATTTGTGCGTGTTAACAAGACGTTGGTAAATGGTACGGTCATCATTATGTAAATCATATTTTTGGCCCAGTGTTAAGAACAGGTATTTGTTTTGATTCTCATCCCAGGACAAGAAATTGGGATTCTCATATGAAAAAGAAGATCCTGTAAAATATTTCTGCAACTTGTGGACACCTGGTGTGAATGGATTTTAGTGAGTTGAGTGTTGTGTTGTGAACTTACCAACTGTATGATTGTAGTAGCCCTCTTGTGCACTGTAGTAACCGAAAAACGTATCGAATCCTCTGTACGTTGGTGTGCACTCCCATTTACTGAAACCCAGGTGCCATCTAGAGAACATCATAAAAGTGTGCCATGGTGTTTTGTTGTGTTGTATAGCCTTTCGCATAAGAATAATACTTATACTTTATATCGATTAAGTTCGATAATCTATCAATTCTTTTTCGAACATTCACTGTATTCATGATCATTTATCTTCTTTCTGTGTAGCGTATCCGAGTTTCAGTTCTTCCCTGGCCTGACGTACAGTTCAAACGGATTACCCTAGTCAAGAAAGATACACGAATCCTGAAGCCAAAGTCCACACAGTCAGAAGAACAATGTCGCTCTAAGCAGAAAAGGTTGTGTTCCAATGATTGACATACTTGCCGACCATATGTGTAGCGTAGCCAAGTTTCTTCAATTCTTGTGGCAGGAAGGTGTAGTTGAGAGGCACACATGCAGCCTGATTATCATCCAGAACCTTGTGCTACGATATGAAATGAATATATGAGACCCTTTGACATAATACTAAATGTGATTACACATTTCAGTGATTGCACTTATCTCTTAGGAGGGGCTTGTCCTTTATCAGGATCACTTTGATAACAGTTAAAAATGTTAAAACATTGTTTGTTCAATAAACGTAAATGTTAAATAGGGTTTGTTAAATACTGAAGTTGATGCGATAGAGGGGGGAAACCTTGACACTTCTCACCTGCATGCCGACTTTGAATGGAAACATTCCACTCATGAAGGCCGTGCGAGACCTGTCAACACAGAACGTCAACGATAGAGAATAGCTGGATTATCAGGTCAAAACATATGTCGTTAGACTTGAAAGTTAAGAGAAAGGACCAAATTTAATAAATAGACCTCTGAATATTAATAATCGTAACCTGCTGTCGCGAAAAGAAACATATGGGTCCTACTGGTAGCACAGAACCATTTGCATTGAAAGATGTTCCGCAAGTTCTAAGTGAGTTCAGGGTACGAGAATATATCTATTATTGTACATACTAAGAGCCTTTAGTAGAGGTCTTGTTGATATAAATCGGATCTCTAAAGTCATTTTATAACAGTTGATATTCAAGATCCGATTTTTAAGGAAGTTAATTTTCAAATACATTTTCACATTAAGAATCTTATTTTCATATATTACCTTTTTCTGCCTTGATAATAAAATAAGTGGCATTTGCTAGGATGGGATACGATTTTATTATGAGTGATGTAAAAACAAATACTATTTACGGGGTGCAATAAGGCTGGACATAAGCGCTCTCGAAGATGATCCCCTCTGTTGCCAGTTTGTCGATGTTAGGAGTCTTCATGGTTGGGTTTCGGAAACCAACATCGTACCATCCTGATTGGTAATGAAACGAGGCATGATATGATTTGCATAGATCTACGCCATTCAAGTGAAAATATAGTTTTCATTGTCTCGGCCTTTTTTCTATGTATAGCTGGGATATCAGCCTTCGAAGCAACACACATCTGTCAAGCCTTCGGTAGTAATAGAACACTGATCGTGTTCATATTCCGGCGTTGTGGCCATTATGAATGGTCATGTTTACCTACAACTTCAACGCCGCACTCAGCAATATTCGAGCTCTATGGCAGGGGTCTGTAAATAATCGAGTCTAGATTCAGGCAATCTAATGATTAACAGCATGAGCCCCGAAATACGCAACTGGGATGCGATGGCTGGTGTCAATCAAGTCAGCAATCCCGACCACCCGATCCCGTTAATTGCCTCTTACGACAAGCATGGGCTGCTGAAGACCAATTCGAAGCTGGATATTCACGGGTCGAATGTCTTGCACCACGCGAATCTACCGTAGCTGCTCAAAGAACAATCCCATTAAACAGAAGACTACTACACCAGACCGGATAGACATTAAACAAATACAACAGGTCACATACGATGTCGATGTGGAACAGCGTAGAAGATGTCTGTTCAATTCATGTGAAAAATGTTTTATTGACACTCTTGGTATTAAGCCCATGGTTATAAATGGGTTAGGGTTAGGTTATATTACATATATAAGACCTAGTATAATATACATACACATGGTGATGCAGAGAATCGGTCCTCTTGTTTCCAATTATATTTAAAGCTGCGGGGGCAAACATTTTTCAAATATCCATGATAGCATTACATTTTATATCCTTTAATATGTGGGGTGATTATTTTTTACCCCGCTTTAAGCAATTTTCCAGACATCGGGTGACGTCCAGCAGGGGCTTCACACACTGTAACCCATGTGGGGATCGAACCGGGCCCTTCGGGCGTGACAAGCGAACGCTCTAACCAGAAGGCTACCCCACCGCCCCCTTTTATATGGGGCCTAGAGGAATACATAACATCGTCAAGAGTAACTCAATATACCTATATATACTCACCTAAATCATCTGCAACTATGAAAACAATGTTGGGGCGTTGTGCTGCGACATACGACACAAGAACCGAGAGGAACACAAGGATGAACTTCTCCATTGCCACAGTCACATTCAAGTGATTACGCTACAGAGATCCTTGTCAGGTGGCCTTCGCTTGGTTATCAGGTAGATAGATATAGACATGTGAGATGTGTGCACATTAACACGACGTGGAGGAAAAACCCGATTACAGTTCTAGTTCACGCCACATTGTTAATGTTTAAATGGTTAAGATGTCAGTCTAAATATATACTCAGAGGCAAAAGTAATTGTGACATTGCATATTTACATTGGTAGTCTTGTGAATTAATTTTGTGGTTTGAACAAGATAAACACTGTTTTAATGTGGTCAAATAAACGCAACCGAGCAGTAGTTGTTCGAAATGCACGATAATGTGTACATGTTGAAAACGTCTGGTTCTTCTCTGTTTAGGAACAATTCTAATAAATGCAAAATCGCATATTCTTTGAAAGGCAATAATTTTTATGTTTGAAGTAAGTATCTTATTTCAATTTCTGTACATAAAAAATTCAAACATCAATTTTCTTTGGGGCTGTAATGATACATACTTTAATAAGGTTAAGTAGCATAGCTGACAAACCGTCTCCGATTTCCTCTACTTACCACAGCGTTCCACACTGAAGGGTTTGTACCCAACCAGTAACATCCAATCATTAACTATTTATCGCCTATATAGTATTTCGGGGATTTTGTATGTGAGATAGAATTGCTTAATCTGAGCTTCAGGTTCATGAACGAAGCAGCCATGTGGTAGTTTCACATGTATATACGGGGAGCTAACTCTTGTTGCCTCTAAACGCACGTCTCCCATCTCAGGTTACGAGATCAGCAATTGTGTTGAGGCTGGGCATATTATAGAAACTTGATCATTATTGCAGTAAGCTGAATATTACCAACATTGCCTTTATTGCCAAATTCACTGTAAAACTTTCAAACGATTTGTATTAGTTTGTAAACCTGAAAAAAAATAGAATACAATTATTGATGACATCACATTGCTTTGTTGTTTGTTGGTTTGACGTGGAGTTCTAAATTAAGGACTAAATTACGGTTAACTTTTAGTTTTAACTTGGAAATCAACACGTAAATAGAAGCAATAAACCCTTTTCACACATCCATAAGTATTTTCTGCTAAAATCAGAGTCGATTGTACAATTGTGACTATTAGTATATGTTTGTTTCAGCAGTATAACAGCTGTGCGATGTTATTTGTAAACAAATCGAGTCTGGACCAGACAATCCAGTGATTGTCATCAACTTCCACGGATACAATTTTGGTGAAAACATTTTTAATATGTCATACTTACAGTTATTCTACCTGCAGGAATCAAATTAGAAAGCAACAACTCTGGTTTCGCTTTCAGAGAGGGTTACTACTCAGGTCAGTGGAATGGTGTTTTGCAATGATATACATTGGTTTAAGGTCTTTATTAAATATTAATGATTCCCTTCAGCGTGAAGAATAAGAGACCACAAAACAGCCAATATGATAATTGCCGTCGGTGGGATCATCAATCGGCATCTTCTTTATTTTCCCGTGTTATCAGTGTTTGACTTCAATTCATAAAACAATGCTTTTAGTCATACTGGATTTCGCTAAATGTAATTATGAGCAAGATTTGTAAATAACTCATGTCGCATAGTAGACTTCCAGTATGTTAGTACCTCAAAATCGTGCCAAAAATGATTTTATGATTATGATTACAAAACAATTTAAACATATCACATCTGTGCATCTGAAATGGTAATTTAAGAGGCATATGTTGCATGTGTGTTGTAAAAAGTAAAGCCAAGTAAATACACATGAAAAGTACAAACACACACAAAAAAGAAAATGAGACGTTGCAAAACAGGATTTAAACGTGTGATTGTGTCACACACCACTGCTAACGAAGAAGCTTACATCAAAATTTTGTTAATGACTGATTGAAGGTGAACAGGCTGCAAAATTATTCTGAGGCATTTTACGTTCAGCCAACATTTACATTTGCTTCACGTAGGTATGCATGCGTTTAGATGTATGGGCACTAGGGGTCACATTCATTAGATTTGAGGGGTAGTCCCGTAATCCTAGTCTTCCCCGAAAAATATGTAACCATGTGTCCTCAGGCTTCAGATCAATAACGTTCATTGGACAGTATCGTATATTGGGTTTCTAGAAAACATACATTATGATAGTGGTACTCATATTTTGAAGAACACCTGGTATCATCGCTATAATGCATTCATAAACACTTGGTCATAATACGGTCGGCATCGTTTCAGTATAAATGTGTCGTTTTATTGCTAAAGAGATCGTTGTGTGGTGACAACTGTCCAACATTCTATTCTACCAACTAGAACTGTTATAAAATGTTAATTTGTGACTAACGCAATAATTTATTATCCACCTCCAAACTACACATTCTAAAGACGGATGTCGCGATAGAAATAGTGAGAAAAGAGCTTTGGATCAGCACCACCCGGGGCTCCAAACGTCCCCATACTTTCTGGGGTCAGATGCAGGATCTGGTTGTGGGTAATTGGCTGGCACCATCGTCTTCTTGTATTCCTCAAACCGGGCACGCAACTTGTCAACCATGTCTGGCATCTGCTGTGCAAGGTCATTGTGCTCAGTCGGATCCTCTGGATGTGAATTAAAATATATGTAAATAAGAGGGAAGGGACACTTGTAAACTATATGTAAATCAATATTGCATTTATCTCACAACATTTTGGGGATCTTGTTTGTGGGGAAAACACTTGATTGACTAACTTTCATGACTAGACATTGTGGTATGTACCTTCACTTCAGAATAGAATATTCTCTATGTTTTTGCATAGTCCATTATGCCTCGATCATCATTTCTGTTTGGGTGGGTGTTATGTGTTCAACACCTAGTCTACGACAAATATTATCATTACTTGGACACATGTTAATTAATTGCGCACCACGAATGTTGAAGAGATGAACTGGTTCATCTCCTTTGAGGTAGACTGTCTGTTCATATTTGTCGTCCTGGGTCCTGTTCATAGGTCTGTGCCAGCCATCAGGGCCTCCAGGGTACCCGAGGATTAGTTTGTAGTCTCCGACTCTGATACACAAGAAACACAGTTACTTCGTTCATATATTTCACAGCGTCTATACCACAACTGTGTAGAGTGAAGGGTATTGATAATGCATCTGAAGGTCAAGGCTTACGTGTGTAAATATGCAGTTGTGTCTTCAGATGTATATTTACAATTCCGATTGCCTTTTCAATAAATCTAACTTGACGACAAAACATCTATACAATACCTGATTCCAGCATGACCTTCCACTGGAACTTCAAAGTCGTCAATATTGTAGATGAACTCAGTTCTTGAAGACGGAAGACCATTTCGAATAGAATCCCAGTGACTCATTCCATCTATCGTAGTTTCTGTATCCAATGCACTACGAATTGTGTAAAATTATTTTGTGATACCTTGCCGATGTTTTTTTCCCTGAAACAGACTTACGACACATTATAAATAATCTCACTACCTTTTCCGTAGTTGCAAGCGTTGTTTATGACAATTTTGACAAAATTAAGTGAAATGCAAGTGAGAGCATCCTTACCTGGATACATGACACGTTTTGTGCATAAAAACTTCTTTTTTATCCATAAAACGTGTCATCTATTCATGTTCGTCCAACTTCTAAAGGCCTTTCAAAAACTTCATCTTTACCTGGAATTCCACCAGCAGCAGATACTAAAGTAGACTTCCAGTCCACTGCGTGGATCATCCTGTTTATAAATAGAAAAGAGTCACTAAATATTGACCACAACAATACATTTTTTGTTTGTCAACTAAAAATTAGCAAGGGTTCGGTCAAAGATGCCCCTTAAATATACTAATGTCTAATTAAATTATAATAATAATTACAGTTGTTTAACTATATTTAAATGCTTGTGGAAACAGGACTAAACACTGATACCTTTCTCATGTTATATTCTTTATACATTTTTTTGTCTATTACTGACAAACCATAACAAATTCGAAATAGGATCATCTCTAATCATCTCATCAAGATATGGCCTTACCCATCGTATGTCGTCCTCGTCTTCTGAAGCCCAGCACCATACATGAAGGATGTCCCCCTCGTGCCCCCCTCCCAGATCGTGTGTTTTCCTCCTCTTAAAGGCCAGTTGTTGGCATAAACTTCAATAGGGCCTCCATTCTGAATGATTAATGGTTAAGTCCAAAGGAGAATGACATGATTAGCGCTTTCATTAAATATAACTATCCAGGTAATCAAATACCTTATGTAGGCATTTGAACCCAAACAGCCTTGCACACTGGACAGTTTGACGTATCTGTAATTACCCATTTATGAATGGAGATGCATGTTGTTACTAATGCATACAATGGAGCTGCCTCAATGGTGAGTTTCATTTGTATAACCATACGGTTTCTTTCATTCATGTTTAGATAAATCTTAATACAAAATACAAGATCCACCGTCGTTTTCAGAATGACGAAAAGACATTGTTTTGCTGGTATCAGGCAAGATATATTTAGTTTAAACGACAACAACGACGGAAATTCTCTGCCGATCAGTGTTTAACAAAGCTCTCGACCAAGTTCGAAGAAAAGATTAAAAGTTCTCCACAATGTCAATACTGGAACTACTTACATCTGCGGTGAATAAAATCAGTGTCGACCTAGTTCGAGAAAAGATTAAACCTTCTCCACAATGTCAATACTGCGACTACTTACATCTGCGGTGAATAAGATCAGTGTATTTTCAAACAACCCCCGATCCTTCAGGGCTTTGGTGACATTTCCTACTGCCTCATCCAGGGCAGACACCATTCCTGTTCCGAGTGAAAATAGATCAGTGCGAACAGCACTTAGATATGTCACGATGTGTGAACTGTATGAGGGTGAACTCAATTCAAGATTGTTTGGGACGGTGATTATGCAGTTTGTGTGCCTGTGAAATGACTTCTAAGAAACAAAGATGGCTTCAGAGACAATTGTGATAAAACGTGAGGAAATAAGGTCATAAAATTACATACCACAATACTTTCCCCGCCCTTCGTTAATGACGTTCGGATACATATCCTCATACTTCTGAGGCACCTGTGATGTGA